CAAGTGACAACCAAATAAGAAGTCAATTTTATCCAAACATCGTTATACAAATGAAACCTATTTGCATGGATCCTAGCCGACATGTGTGAAATGGATCCAAATGTAGTCTCCTATCACCTACCCATTAGTCATGTTGTCCGACCAGTAGTGTAAAAGAAGAGAAAGATTGACGTAGAGAAATAACTTCACTACTATAGAAAATATATACAACAATGATTGGAAAATGGATAACATCACACGTGATCTGCCGTTGTCACGTAGGGTATGGTTGTATAAGCGCTACTTATAATCACAGTCTTATGACCGTGGTAGAAAACCTGAAAGCGCACTATATATGATTACAATTTCTATAACTAACTGTTGTAGTATATACATTTAGGAAAATAACATTCCATAACAGTTAATATAAATAAATGTTGTTGAAACCCAGAGTTTATTATATAATAAGTAGATTTCTTGATTTCAATAAACCTCACAACAACATACAACCATTCAAATTGATGAAGAAGTATATAATCTGAAAATTAAACTATTCTTGAAAGCCAACTTAAACAAGCCGCTTTTTTTCGAATTGCATTCCTCTCATCCTTCATCTCACACAATCTAACGTATAGAATGTGGTTCAATGGTCTAAGTCCTTCATGACATCAATTCTTTATATTCTAGTTTAATTTGAATAATATCAATAAATGGTTGTTATTCAAATTAAACTATAAGAGAAGATATGGATGTGATGAAGGAATCAGGTTATTGACCTACATTCTATATGTTAAACAACGCGAGATAAACGATGAGACAGATGCATTTCGAAAAACATTGATTGATATAAGTTGGTTTTCAAATACAACTTAATTTTCAGATTATAAGTTTCTATGTCAACTTAATTGAAATCTATTTTCAGTGAAAGGTTAGTGAAACAAATAATTTACATAGCATATAATAAACTCAACTTCATACAACAATATACAACAATACAAAATATTATGTAATGTTTTAAGAATTTAAAGAACAAAACATCGCTAAGTCACAAGCAACTTCTTTCTTGTGACTTAGCAATATTTTGTTCTTGTTCTTAAAACATTAATCAACAATAACAACATACAACAACATTTATCAGCAATACAACAACAAACAATAAAATAAGGTTCAAAAGCAATAATAGCAACACACAACAACAATGACATACAACAACATAAAACAAAACAAGATATTATATAATGTTTAAAGAACACACCTTTTCTAAACTAATCGTGGATCTGGAACAAATTATGATTTTCATCTAGTTTATGAAGTTACGAAGAAGAAGTACAAAATGAATAAAGTTAACACAATAGCTTCATACTTCTTGTATTTTTATTCAGAGCTACACAAACCATATGCATCATAGCCAAAATATACACTTTGTTAAGATGGTGAAGACGAATCTGAAAAAATGAGAACATTTACCAAATAAAAAATGAGAACTCATTTTTAACAAGAAATGTAAACAAAATCGAAGCATAAGTTTAATAAATGAATTTGAAATATGATTAAAGAGTATCATAACGATTGGTGAAGACGAATATGAAGGTTTAAGAAAGTTTAAAGAGTGACATGAATTTTAGGGTTATGTTATGAGAGATAAGAGTGAAATATGTTAGGAGGGTTTTCATTTGAGAGAAACAATTGTTATGTACTGAACGATAAATACTTTTGCTTATATAGTAAAAAATATCACTTTTCATAGAAAAACTATGATATAATATATCACGTTTCATCACGGTTTGAAAGAAAAACCGTGATAAAATTTAGAACTTTTACAACGGATCTTTAGTAAAACCGTGGTTAAATAACTTTCAAATTTTTATTTATTTATGAACCCAATGGTGAGAGAATTATTATTTATTGTTATTGTTATTTTTCATTATTGTTGCGATTGTTGTTGTTATTTTTGCTGGCTTGTACAATTTTTTTTGTAAAACAATAATAGTGTATAAATGAAAGAATATATAAAACAATAATAAATAATTTCATTAAGAGGGCCAAGAGGGAGGAGTACATAAATAATTTCATTACATAATTTTGTTAATGTCGGAACAATATCCTCTAGCAGCAAAGGAATCTTCATAATCTATGACTCGCTCCTCACTACCCTCGTCTGAATCATAGTAACAAATCTTCCTGGACAACTTTTTCTTCTTCTTCTCGGCCTTCTTAACCCTAAGTGTATCCCTAACAGTAGTCGATTCAGATGGTTGAACCTCCTCAGTTAACTGCTGATCATGGTGTTGTACTGTGGTGACTTCAGTTGAGATATTTTGTTAATATTCTCAGATGGAGAACTCATGTTGCTATATGTAGTTAAGAAGAATAGTTTTGAAAAAGTGGAAATTCATTATATGAAAATGTGCCTTTATAGAAGAGGTTGCAGATGAAATATCTGATAATTTAATGCTTGCAATGATTACTTTCAATGGTTGATATTCTTGAATGACATTGTGAGTGTCTTGAAAAATGAAGAAAATTTTCAATCATCATTATAGTTGGGAAGAACGTTTCTCTCTTTCGGGAAGAACAAAGGTTGTACAGATGATATTACAGTAGTTACATATTAAATCTGTGATTAAATTATTTATTTATTTATGAACTTAGCTGACATACGCTTTTTGTAATAGGAAAAAAAATGTAGTTGCCATAATTTGAACCTTGTACCACTCACATTATCACCACAGTTGTATCTATCAACTGTGATTAAATAACTTTCAAGAAAAAAAATAAGTATTAGGTGCATCCAGTTTCAGATATTACAATGATGGAAGGCATGACCATGGTAATATTATGTTACCAAATGTGTATTTTATAGTAGTGCTTATTGTTTGGTAAGAAACTCAAATTCTAGAAAATGCACGTTTCATCTAAGAAGTTGTATATCCAACTTGGTTTATCAACATCATGATGGTCAAAAAATCCCACAACAAGTAAAGGATGTGCACATATCACTCATACATCATATATATGATGTTTAAGCTAGTGTGACCTTTATACAATCCTCAAAGAACATGGCCTCAATCAAAGGATCAAAAACTAAAATTGTCATTTAAAATCAACATGCTCAACTAAAATAATGTTGATCATTGTAAAATAACACCAATGCAAAGTGAGAGATAAAAATCACACATACTAGTAAAACAAAGGGAGAACTAAGGTGTAAGACCAAAGGAAAGCACAAATTGACAAAAACTTAAAAGGTTAAAAAGTAGCGTGAACCCATAAATGGTTGAAATAGAAAGGGAGAAGAATAAAAATTATTGCAATACTACATTAACAATTATGAAGGATATATAATCAGTTATTGCAATCCAACAATGGAACTCACAATAAATAGAGCCAACCATCATAATAATGACGGTAAAAGTTACAACCAAGTCAATACATCAGTAAAGAGAATCACACACATACATACACAAACCCACACACGCGCACACAGATACAGACACAGACACAAACGAGCATGCACACACACATACACAAACGAGCATGCACACACACACACGCACATATGCACGCACATATATGCACATGCACGCACGTGCACACGCACACACATATACACACAGACACACACAGACACACAGAGAGAGAAAGAGAAGTAATGATTGAATAAATAAATAAATATAAATTTTAATTGAATTATTTATTCAATCATTACTTTTTTAATCTATGTGTAACACTTTTAAAAACCTTAAGAGTCATCACGATGAATAATGATGAGGGTATATATATATATGGATGTAAATGGATATTCATGGGGATATATAATATGATATTCATATCCACCTCGTTCGATAAATATGATATTCGTATTCATCTCATATCTGTGCGGGTATTTGTTAAACGGATAATCCATGGGTTTCACGGTACCCAGAGATATTTATAGATATCCATGAATACAAAAAATTGATTACTTTTTTTATAACACAACAAGTTATTATCACATAACATCCATACAATTCACTCTTAAGTTAATAACAAAATATAATCATATTAATTTTTTCTTTTTCAACAAAACATAATAAGATTCAAACATAATATTCATACATTTTATTTGTAATCAAACAAATAAAAGATATTGTGATTGTGAGTTATGATGGAAGAACGAACTACATAGGAGTAGGAAGGGAGACACTAATTTGACAGAGAAAGGATGACACTGGTTGGCTGAACAGTGAAATTGTTGAAGTGAGGTATGGAATATTGAAGAGCATAATATGAAATGGCTACTTTTTTAAAAGATGAAATTAATTAGGTATGGAATATTGAAGAGTATAATGTTGAAGAGCATAATAAGAGTTTGTATGAAATGACTACTTTTCTAAAAGATGAAAAGACACGTTATAATAAACTAATGATATTTAAATAATTTGTATAATTTATTAATTGATATGGATATCTGCGGACACATGTATCATTAAACTCATATCCATATCGATTAACAAATAAATATTTAAATGTTTATTTATTTTATCCGTATATATCCATTAAACTATTATCTCCATATCTGTGATAAATTTTGATCGCATATATATGCAAATGCGTTTTTTTTACTATTTCTAAGTATAGACAATATTTATTAAGTGTAAGTAAAAATTAATTAATGTTGTGTTTAAAAAATAAAGAAACTATTATTTTTGGACAAATTTTTTTAACTAGAAAGAAACTTATTATAAAATAGAAGAAGTATAATGAGCTTGAAGTTTCAATCTAAAGCAAACCAATCTACAACACTTTTCACAAGAATTTTCATTTCTTTCTTTGTTTACTAGCTTTCTTGTAATTTTTGTCTTTAAAAATAAAAACTATTTTAAAGCAGATGTTTTAGAAGAAGGAAGGACAACACAGATTAATCATATTATTATCTCATTGAACACTTATTCTTCAATTAAAGTTTACTAATTTCATTACATAACACACACATTATTTATTACAAACAAAACACACGCAATCCAAAGTCTACCACATAACTACTTAAAAAAATTTGTATGCTTCAAAACACAAACAACTATAACCAAAGCAACAATCAAAAGCACTACAACTCCAACATACTTTTTCCAATTCCTTCTCTTCATTTGTGATTCACTCTGAAATTTCATGACTTTAATATCCCTCTCTAATACATTAATTTTATGTTCCATATCACTTTCAAATTGATTAACTTTAACTTCCACATCACTATTCATCACATCTTCCTCCTTCTTGGTTTCCTTCAACTCAACCATTGTAGTTTGGGATGCAATGAATTCATCCTCCCACATGAAATAGTCACAATATAACATTTTTTTCTACAAGATAATCAATAAGAAACCATTAACACATTATTAAATTAACTTAAAATACTTTGTTTAATTGATTTACCTCAAAATTAAAATATGGACAACCAAAGAAACGTCGGTTAGGATTCTTAGGTGTCTTTGATGTGAATATGACACACTTTTCTTCACAATTGCATATAGGAGCAGCCATATTCTCATGCATTGAAGAACTTCCACTCATTTTGTCAACAAAGGTGATTGGTAACTTAGAAACTCAAAAAGGAACAAAAGTATTTCGAGAAAGACTTAGAAATATGATATGAAGTGGATGAAGAATAAGATGATTGATTTAGAGAAATTATTTATTTATAGTAGTGACTAGAGAGTGTACATTATATTTAGAGATAATGTTTTTCTTTCAAATAAAACTAAGGACTTAGACACACCACAAATTTGGTCCAATCCAAGCATAATAGCATATTTATAAAAATAGAGAAATTGAGTTTTAATGTTATATGAGAAACAAACCAATGAACTATAATTTTGCAGTTTCGTTTCCATGAGGTAAAGGAACAAACGACCTTTGGAGGGTCAGAAACTCTAGAATGGGTGTTACTATGATTTTGTTAATAGTATTTTAGGTGTGAGAATCAACACATTGAGTATGGATGGAATTTTTTTATTTACATAAAAATTTAAATGAGTTGTATTGAGGGTCTCACTAGAGGGTTAAGACACTTCAAAATTTAATAAACGCTTTAGAAATAATTATCGATCAAATCTTTAGATCGTGGAGGGGAATATGAATGTAATAATTTAAAGAAAAAGACAATGTATAACTTTTTTTTAATGAAAATATACAACATCGAATTATATTTCGGTTAATAATAGTGTAACTATTATATAACAAAAAAAGTATAACGATTACAAAAACAAAATAGTATTTTCTGTAATATGTCATTAAATATCAAGTAAGTAAGAAAAAGAGAAAAAAAAACATGTGTTTGGAGTGTCAATTTTTTGATGAGCCGAGACTCGCTGTGGAGGTGTTCTAGAAAAACAACGATGGCAATATGCTGTCTAGAGAGATGAGTATTGGTCCGGGTCAATTCGATTCTCGAATTTAGTGATGGATTATGCTCTGGGTTAGTTCTACATCTTTAGAGTTATGGCTATTATAAACATGGTTATATCTCACTTGTTGTAAGTACAAGTTGCATTAGGTGTAGTAATCTTGGTGATAAGAAGATTTATAAATTTATAGGATTATATCACTACTATAAATTAGATCTTTTGTAACATTTTGAGATAGGTACGTTTCTAAAACATTATATGACTTTATATGTTTTTGTTTTTGTTATTAATAAAAGTTGTATGTTGTTTGTAGTTTATGCTATGTGTTTATAATTTTGTGTTTTTAATAAAAGTTGTTTGTTGTATTTTGTATGTTGTTTAAGGTTTGTTATTGATGAATGTTGTTGTTAATTTTTGTTTAAAATTTGAGTTTATTATATCTTATGTCATTTGAGTGTTTGTACAACCCCTTACCGAATATATAACTTTTGAGATTGTATTAGAAAATTATAATATGATAGATAAAGTAATATTAGAAAACAAGTTACACATTTAATTCTAGACAAGAACTCTTCCGTCCGTTATTTGCATTTCGATATTTAACCGTTACAACTTAGTTTAATGCTTCTAGTTCTTCAACTGCCCATTTCTCCAACTCTAGTTTTGTTTGTAAAGTAAAATAATATTTTGTAAAATGAAATAGAGGTGAAGGAAAGGGAGGTTGAAGAACTAGGAGCATTAAACCAAGTTCTAAACGTTAAAGATCGAAATTTGGATAAGGAGTTGAAGAATTCTTGTTTAGAATTGGACGTGTAGCTTGTTCTTCTAATATAACTTAATTTATTATATTATAATATTCTAGATCAGATTGAAATGTTATATGTTTAGTGAGCATTGGCGAAATAAGCATTTCAGATAATTGATAATAAACTCAATGTATATATCACAATGGTTGTTTAGAACAACCGTTGTTAAATGTTATGTGTTAAAGAATACTGAAGGTGAGAAAATACTTAGAAGGGGGGGGGGGGTGAATAAGTATGACAAATAATCAAAGATTCAAACACAGTTATTTTTATCCTGGTTCGTTGAACTCAACTACTCCAGTCCACCCTCTCAAGAGTGATTTGCCTTTCTCAAGCAAGGACTTAATCCACTATTTAATCAAACAGATTACAATAGTAACACCTAAGAACAACTGTTCTTAGTCTTCTCAAGAGCTACTGATCCCAACTGGATCCTCTTAAGGAAACCTTTTACAATCAATGTAAAACTATTACAAGAGTAAGAATGATTCTAAAAAGCTATTATCACAACTGTGATATTTCTCTTAAGTTTTAAGAACAATGTTGCAGCAAATAGAATATAAGAGCTTTTGAGAGTTTTGCTTTAATGAGTGATTTTTGCAAGTAGTTCATTACTGAAGAAGATGGAGTGGACTTCTTTATATAGGCACTTAGATCCATGAAGTCTTCTCAACGTTGGAGGTTGTGCTGAAAAAGCCTGGAGCCTTTTGTCTTTACGTTGGAGGTTGTGCTGAAAAAGCCTGATGCCTTTTGTCTTCACTTTGCAGAAACTTTCCTTAGAATGGAATGCACAGATAAAACCTTTTTGTCTGTGTTCTTGTGTCTAACATAAAAGAGGAAAAAGCTGTTGAGATATGCCAACGGACATATTCAAATCTTCTTCACTAAGTAAGTTCAACTATCAACATCAGAGTCTGGATCTTTAGAATCTCCAGAGTAGAGATCTTCTGGATCTTCAGAGTCTTGGGATGTTCTTCAGATTATGCTGAATCAGAGTATATGCAGCTTGTGTGCTTGAGCGTGTAGTTCTGTCAGATCAGAGTCTTCTATATCAGATTCTCAATACTTATGCAGCGCAGTATCTTCAGAGTCTTCTGATGACTAAGCTTCTGAACTCTCAGAGTCTTCTATTCTTTAGAGGCTTCTGCTTCAGAATCTTCAGTAGACAGCACTCAGATTCTTCTGGAGACAGCGTTCAGATCTTCATTTAAGATGCTCTTGAACCTTTGAAGCCTTTCATAATATCATTGTTCAGATCCAAATTTGCTCTTTAAGAATATTTTCTTTAGTACCTGTAGCAAACAGTCTAGAACAAATTTAGAGTATATAATTCTTGAATACAAAATTCATAAGTGTTATCATCAAAACATAGAGATATTACTAAGAAACAATATGTGTTCTTACAAATATCACAACAGTTGTTTGAAGTAATCATTGTGATAAGTAATGCGCTACATAGTTTATAATCACAGTTGAAGGACCGTGGTGGAAAACATCATACATACAACCACCCCTTACCTTACAACGGTTGGTCAGACATGGTGGTATCCCTTTTCTAACCGTTGTGAAATGACTTTTACGTAGTAGTGTATTCTTGGAGTTTGAAAGCCATTGAGATTATCAAAGAAGTTTGAGAAACACTTTAAATACCTTGAATTTATGTGATTCAGATATTGAGAGTTAGAGAGATTGTGAAACACTTGAGTATAATATATGGTTTTTCTTGTGAATTTTGAAGACTATTTTCTTGTAACTCATATTGTAATATCTAGTAACAATTTTAAAGTATAGTGAATCAGAAAGTTGTTATCATCTTGGTAGGTCAACCTGATTAAAGTGTGTAAATAATTTTTTTGTTCTTGTCTTTTATACTTTCATTGTACTAGATCTAATTTCTTGGTTAATATTGTTTTTGTCTCACACATCAAAGATCTTGGCGTGATTGAACCTTTCAATTTCATAATAAGTGGTGCCTACTGTGAGGGAAAGGGGTTAACTTTACAAGTGAGAAACAAGGGTTCTAAATGGAACATTAAGAAGTTTTCTAACGAAAATTTAGATTTTGGAAGGTGAAGATGCAAGCAATCTTAATTCAACAAAGGCGCATGGAAGAATTGAAGGGAGGGTTGCATGCATGCCTAACATAAGCAGAGGGCCAAGATGGTAGATAAGGCCAGTAATGCCATTATCTTGTGCCTCGGGGATAAATTTCTAAAAGAAGTTGCAATGGATAAAACCACAACTGAGATATGGGTCAAGATTAAGTCATTGTGTATGACCAAATGCTTAAATAAGAAATCGTGTCTAAAATAATAACTGTATTCTTTATGTATGGCAAGGAATAAATCTATTATGGAGAAGTTAATGAAATTTTACAAGATCATTGATGATTTGCAATATTGAGGTTTAAATTAATGATGAGTATAAGGATCTACTCTTGTTAATCTCATTACCCTATTCCTTTGAGAACTTTAAGGATGTCATTCTTTGTGGTAAATAAGTGACTATAACTTTGGATTAAGTCTAGATGACCATAAATTCAAAGGAGTTATCAAATATGGAGCATTCGAAAGTTGATGATATTTGTGAAGGCTTAAGTGTATTAAGAGGAATAAGTGAGATTAGAGGAGACCAAAAAAGGAAGATATCCATATCAAAGTCCAATTCCATGTCAAAGGCTTTTGATAAGTCAAAGTTCAAATGTTTACTTGTCACAAAACCGGTCACTTCAAAAAGGATTGTCCCAAAAGAAAGAGTAAGTTGACTATGTTTAGATTGTAACTGCCTTAGATGAAGATGATTATGAAAGTGGTAGCACACAAGTGATAACAAGTTTGAAGACAAAGAAGAGTTGGTTTATGGACTCAATATAATCTTATCACACGTGTTCAAGAAAAGAATATTTTGATACTTTCGAGCTGAAAGAAGGTGGAGTTGTTTAATTTTGAAACAAAAATGCTTGCAAAGTTCACGACTATGAGTTCTTTCTACATAATGTGAGGTATGTTCCCGAGATTAAATGAAAATTGTTATCCATAATCATGTCTAAATATTTGGGCTACCTCATTAGAATTGAACATAGATTGTTGAAAATTTGCATGTTGTATTGATAATGGTTAAAGGGTCCAAAATATATGGGTTTATATTTTGGATTATTCCACTGTAATTTGTCATGTATAATTATTTAGTTAAGAGTTTCATGACAAAAGAGGATTAGTTGAACTTTCTAAACAATGGTTGTTATGGAGTGAGTAATTAAATAAACTGCAACTTTTGATAATTATGTACTAATAAAACAACACAAGGTGAAGTTTAGGAGTGATGCGAAAAATTTTAGTTTACCTTTTGAGTATGTTCAGTC